ATTTAGGGTGGTAGCTCACTCTCCGTGTCTGCCCGTGTCTGCCCTTGGAATCTGAGTCCCTCTTGTCGCTTTTATCTAAAAGTCTTGGCTATCATTAGGTGTAGATTCTTGCAGGGGTCTGGAGATACTGCAAGAGGAAGAGACACAGCCTGTAGAACTGAAATATCCATAGAAAAGTTTAATATCAACTTATAATTTAATACACAAACTTAATTTGGTTGTCTTTCTTCTTTAACAATATATTATTTTGAAAAAAAGGAAATATTCTCTACCTAATAGAATCAAGAGCATACTTGTTTCCTCTCAAAATTTGTGCATTAAATTTTATTTCATGTTATCTGTTCTATTCACAAGTTAAAATGAAAGGCTATGGGTGGCTGGGGATTTACAGCAGCATGAGCGCCTGCCTTGAAAGTATGTGGTAGTGAGTTCGAACTCGGGTAATTATGAAAAAAAAAATGAAAGCCTGTGAATAAAGTGACAATGCTATTTGAGAGAAATCAATTAAGAAATTTTAATAAAATTTGTTAGCCTTTTTAATTGGGATATTTACTTAAAATGAAAAAAGAAATTCAGGTTATTAGTAAGGCATAATGTCTCAATGCTACCAGTTTTGAGTCCTATCAGTTGAGAAAATTACCTGTAAACATTTTGTCTTTCAGAAAAAACATCCTTTCTGTTATACCTGTAATTCATGATATTAATGTTGAAGAGCAATATATATCTCAGCAGTGCAAAGTTTTCCATTTACTATGCAAATATTTGAAAAAAATGATTTCAATATAAATACTCTTCTAAGAGAGAAAATTGAGCTTACCAGTTTTTACATAATTGTGCCCAGTTTTCTGATATGTATGTTCCTCAGTACTGACTGAATTTCTCTCAGTTCAGAAAGCCAGTAAGTTTACTTATTTGGAAGACATTGGGCTATTCTGTCTGATGATCAATTATTGTCAATGAAATAATAAAGTACTCATCATACCCACCAGGATTTTGAAAATTTTGTCATCTTTAGTATATTCTATTAGGGCCAGGAATTAAGCTCAGTGGCATAAGCTCCTGCCTAGCAAAATGAGGTGATGAGTTCGATCTCTGGTAGCAAAAAAAGAATATATTTTAATTTATTAACTGTCTCTATCAAAATTCACTTTTATTATAGTGCAAAGTAAATTGGCAATTTTCATGCCTTCTACTTCATACATACATTTTAAAAATGAATGATATTTCTTACAGTATTTATGATTTTGCAACCAGAATTGACCCTGTGTTTCTACTTTGGGGCTTAGTCTATGGACACACCACCATACACTTAGAAGGTTGTTGAATGTATTCTTGGTGTTAGAGCCAAAATTAAAAACAAGTAAGTATCAAATTTAAAAGGGAATCCTTCAGTAAGAGTAAAATGAGTTAGATCCATGAACTGAAGTTTTGCTAAGATGGAAAACCTTATGAAATATCACTGATTGAGAAACATAAGTTGAAAGTGCCTACTCCTGAAAGGAAAGAGAGGATCCATTTATGCAAATAAACGTGACACGAAAGGTTTTTACACAGGTGTGTATCACCTGCATCTGCCCTGGCACGCACATTCTGGACTCTGCATGAAAGCCTTTGTAGTCAGTCCTGATGGTCCAGGCTGCCACAGGCTGCAGCTGGGGAAGCAGTGAGATCCGTGGCCACTCACAAATTTATGAAAGTAGTTCGGGAAGGTGATGCCATGCTCTGGTTTGAGGCAAGTGTAACTTTTATAACAGTGTCAGAGAAAGAAAAAGAAATTGAATTATCATTTATAGACACAGAAACCTCAATTAAAGTTTCATTTTCCTTAAATTTTATAAGTAAAATTCAACAGAAACTTTGAAAATTTACTAATTTACTAGGTATTATAAAAAGGTAACCAGATACTGACAAAAACCTTGGTTATACCAGTAGATACTTAAATAGTAATTGGTAAAGATTTGCCCCCTATTTCTGTTAAAAATAAAGCTTTATAAAAAATAATGATGAAGGAGTACGCAATTACTGTGACAGCGGAGAATTGCAAGCAATATATTATTCTTTAGAAAGCTACCCTGTAGGGTACGAGCAAAAGGAATCACAATTTATATTTAACTAAATAAGCACATGAAAGATTTATACCAGAAGAATTTTATATGGAAATAACACATAGACATAAACAACAATGGTGTGTGTTTTTCCAGATTGTAGCTCAGTTATATACCGAGTGACTTGAAGGACACTGGATACATACACTGAAGAAAGCCCTGCGGGCAAAACCAGAATAACACAGAGAACAGACTCTCAAGGAGACAAAAATGAACAAAACTCTGGAGGTTTTCCTTGACCAAAGCTGGTATAATGTAATGAGCTGACAGATGTAACCAGAGATTTTCAGTACTATTCCAAAATAAATAGAGTATTAAAATAGCATGCGTCCTATCCCAGCATAGTGTGTGCAATAACCCACAGTCTGCATCGGGACCAGATCTGAGTGCGTGGAACCTCTCAGAGCTTCCCGCCACCCGCTGCTGCTGCTGCTGCGCGCCTGCTACAGGAAAAGCGGCTTTTGAATTGAGGTCTGGGTTCCACCTGTGCACTTAACCACTTTTTCTTCACCTCAGGACGATCACTGGGTCATTCTACAATTTTATTTCCTAATTTACAAAAAAGACAATAATATTTACCTCTCTGGATTGTTTTCATGCCTGGGGAAGCCTACGTAAATGCCCAGTAAGGAGCAGGCATTTTAACAAATACTTATTCTTTCCTTTTCAACCCAAGAACAATTCCCCCAAGCCCTGCCATGGAAAAGTCTTACAAAATACAAACGTTCTCATAACTACTGACTCCTTATATTCCCTGATGTTTGCAAAACATCTTCTGTTCTTGAGTCCCAGCTCCATGTGTATAACCTTTAGACCTAGCTCTGTATGATAGGACCATAAAAATCAAAGTTGTAACAGATGAAGAATTATACATGAACTTTGTCTTACTAGTAAGAAACTACTAGTTCTGTCATGCAAATCCTGATGAATGTGGGGAGAAGTTCATTTTAGCCTTGCAGACTCAGCGAGGACATCATCATTGTTGTATTTTTATAATTAATGCGGGTATTGCTCTTCTCCTCCATAATTGGCTCATTTATCGAGACATTCCCCACTGTTTGACTGATGTGTTTCATCCTCTATCCTTTTTCCCTGCTGTTTCCCCACAGTTATGATGCTCAAAATTTATAGAGCTTTTATTTTTCTTGCTGTTATTTCACATTTCTACTTTCTGCCTTTTGCTAGGGTGAGAAGAGGAGACGTTCACCTTGGTTTGCGTTTCTGGAGAGGTGTCTAGGACAAGTCTCCCAGAAACCCCGCTTAGGCTGTAGTACCGTTCATAGAGTCCAATAAAGCCCTGCCCCAAATGGGTCCCAGTTTTGCACATTTATGACTGTGTACAATAGTTGAAGGAATCTTTCGGCATTTTGAAAGCAGTTCAAGATTCATGAGGTTTATACAGTGGATATAAATCCAAGTTCAGTGGCAGTCTGTGGCATTCAACTTTTTCGTTACAGTCTTGTTGGGACCCTGGTGCCTGTCGTGGGTTTGACATGTGCAGTTGGGAATAAACCAAGGTTCTTCTTGTCTGCTTTTATAAATCACGACCAAGAAGCAGCAAGAATGAGGACCAGCCCATTGGGGAGTGGTGGCTGTCACCGTGCACACCATGCACTGTGCCTTAGCAAACCCACATGCTGGGCAAACATTTCTGGTGAATTCTTTTTTTTTTTCTCTTTCTATGCCTGATAGGGAAATGTGCTACTCATCTACAAACTTCCGTAGAAATAATAATCATTCAAAGTCTTCAAACTAAGCTCCAGGTATTTAATTTAAAATTTCACTGCCCATTTGGAGAATCAGTACTTCCTTCTAACCACAGATACCAAAACATGGTGGTGTTAGTAATGCAGGAATCTCCAACCATTTGTCTTTTTTTTTTTTTTCCAACTATTTGTCTTTAAAATCTGGCTGAAAAAGTAAGATTGCATGTTGCTATCGAATGAGTCCATTTGTGGTGTTTTTTTCTGAAGAGCTCTTTACTTTCCACCCTGGGTAGGCAGGAGGAATACAGCCACCAAACTGCTTTGTCTCCTTAGATTGAATGAACAACTTGCCAGCTATCTGGATTTCACTTTCCCTGTTGTGTGGTTATCTGGTTGATTTTGTTATCTTTTTACTGCTTGGATTTTTATGTGTCTTTCCTTATAAACATGCCAGGATAGATGAAAGGAGCATACTTTGAAGCAACCTGGCTTGATTTTCTAAGAATGATTGATGACTTTTTCATCTCATGGGTCTAAGTTCCTTTTTATCTCCTTTCTTGTACCGTGTTGCTGGAAGTAACTGTGTAGGACAAAAAGTCATATTTGATTTTTAACCCACTGTGATGAGGATCAAAAGGACCCTTCAGTTCTGGTAGAAGGTCTGCATTTTGCAGTGAGGAATCAGGACCCCAATAAGAGGAAGTTTTCAGGGGACGTCTGCAGTTGCTGACTGGCAGGTGTGTCTAGGACCCAGGGGTCTCACTGATGTTTTATTCCTTTATACCACGCACCCCTGGTTCTGCTCCTAACCTAGGAGTGCCCTCTGTGCAGACCCCAACAGCAAGCCCTTGCTGTGAAGCTGCCTCACGTGCTGGCGGATGACTTCTGGTGTTTGACAGTGCACCTGACAGAGTAATTTCTCCTGTGACTGCTCAGATGACATCTTGCAAATACTGCTTGATGCCACCACAAAATCACCCTGAAAGGACTGTCAGTTTCTGTGGATCCACATAGACAGAGGCTTCCTTTGAAATGTATCCGCAAATGTCACTCTCACTGTTAAAGACAAATGCCAGATGTCCTCGCGGAGTGATAATTGCTAATTATAACGTCAACCAGATCCTTTGTCTCTCGCCCCCATGACGTTTCTCATATGCGCTGATCTGTCGCTTCTGTTTTGTTCTTCCAGGTTTGTGTGCTGGAGAGGCAAATATTCGACTTCCTTGGATACCAGTGGGCACCTATCCTCGCAAATTTTGTACATATTATTATCGTCATTCTTGGCCTATTTGGAACTATTCAGTATAGACCTCGTTACATAACAGGAGTAAGTATGATTTCTGCCTTTTCTACCTTACTGAAATAAAGAGTGGTGGCTAAAATACTAGCGCCTGGCAACATGGCACATGCCCCTCTCCTAGGGATATGCCTGCCCTCCCTTCTGTCCTATTGCTTATTTTCAGATTCACATGACATTAACAGGAATGGAAAATGTCATGTCTCAAGCATTAGATTGTGAATGTAATCAGATTGTATTTCCACACTTTGAACTTGCAGCAAAATATTCACCTATGATTACAAACAGACATGTGACCCTGTGTTTCTAACCTATAAAGCTGTGGTCTCTGAATTAATAGGCTTGGTGGTAAATTTTTCCCATTTTAAATCATTTCATTTTATAAATTGAATAAAATAGTGTAGAATCAGTACAAACCAACACACAATTAATGTGCAAATATTAATGCATTGGGGCTCATATTTGAAATACTCAAAAGCCAGAATATTCTGGACCATTGTCTCTGCGGTCTCCATAATTATCTTTTTGGCTCAGAGGTAGTATTTTGCATTTCTACACAAGTTAAACCTAACATAAAAGTGAGATCCAACTGTGTCGCAGTTGCTATGGGAACCATAATTTAGCTTTTGAGTTTTTTTTTTAACTTTTTCTGTGTGCCTCAGCTCTCAGGTCTCCTTCATTAATATAGATTTCTTCTTTAGTTTCATCTTTTTTCCTCAAATTTCTTCTGTTTTCGGCAAGGTAAAGGTCGCTAGGCATTTCCTATAAATCACAAAGTGGGGATGTGGTAAGCACACACACAGACATGAGTGCAGCTTAGGGCCCCACAGCACGCCCCACGCCACGCTGCAGGCCTCCCTGGCTCCACAAAACGTGCCCTCATGTGCCCTGCACTCTGCCTTCCAGGTGGAGCACGGTACACCGACTGGTACTGAGGCCAGCGCTATGGTGGGGCCGGCTCACGGGACAAACTGTGGGAGAAGGAGTGAGGAACCATTGTCTTCTCCTGCAGGACCCTGCCTCAGAGATGGAGCCACACAGGTCACGGCCAAGGCTAGCTGGTTACCCCCGTCTTGTAGGAAGTGCCCTTGTTCTGTTGCGGGGCCATGAGGTCCCTTACAGATGTGATGGCAGCATTGTCCAGCTTCTTGCATAAACCGTGGTTTGTGCTGGCATGGGAGGGACAGTACCATGACTGGTGTGGGTCCCCTGAAGTGGGGTGGCCAGCGCTGAAGTCTCTGTGACTGGTTCACCTGCCTCCAGCTTCGTTATCTTTATGCACAAAGCAATGATTGCATTAGGTCATGATTACTTCACAAGTTGATGGATTATTGTGAAATTCTTAACTTTCCTTTCATTAAACTCTGTGCCCCTTTCATTATTTTATTTGTATAAAAATGCTGATGTGAGTTTCATTATATAAATCTGCTTAATCTCTTTCTGATGAAGTGATTTGTATAAAAATCTAGATGGGGATCAAAATGTTGAATGCTTCAAAAATTCGGAGCTTTCTGTTGAGGAAAAAGTGAGGTAGTTCATGAAGGGTCCTTATCACAGAGCCTAGGGACTAAGAAACATTCAGCACGTGTTAGTGATGGTATTTTTCTTACTGTTATTTTGAAGTAATACTAAAATGCCTAATGGAACAATAGACTGGAAGGAAACCAAAAACAGAGCAAGCTCTTCCTATCTCTCTCCTTTTTATTACACAGTGGTGTGACTCCTAAAACATCGTAGGACTTCTACCTATTCAACTGCAATCTCTTCCTTGTAGATGGACGATGTGGTCTCTTCCTTGTAGATGGTGCTTTAACCACACTGGTGGACACAATTTGAAACCCTTTTGAGCTTCAGTAGAAAGAAGATACAGAGATATGCTAGGGACTGGCTCTTTTCTTTTGTGGGGTAGAAAGTACCCTCAGGTGGATCTTTTCCCAATGTTGTGTCTTACTTTGAGAATCCTTAATTCCTGTTTGCTGGCCAGCACTTATGCCACTGAGCTAAATCCCTAGCACCCATTTTGAGAATTCTTTGCTAGCTCAAGATACTCTGAAAATCCGAGAGTGCAACTTGGTGAGGCATAGGTTAGAAACATAGCTTCTGATTTCTACTTGAATCTTACTTCTTCAGCCCTGTTCTATTAAAATACAAAGCTCCATCTGGGTAAAAGATGATTGTGGACTCTGTCACCCAACTGCTTGCAAATTATCTTCAGATCATCAAGTCCATCAACATGTTGTCTGTCTTGCCAACTACTTTGAGCTGTGGCCAAGAAACCTGTGCTGAATGATGACCATGAAACCCCAAGAGCCCCCCAGTCATCTCCTCCCTGCCCTTCCCACCTCCCCCATGCTAAGGCCATCTCCTTTCTGGCCTTCTGGGCTCCGCCTGATGCCTTTATTGAATCCAGCACTGCGCCTTCCAGGTTTGCTTTACGGTATCACTCAGTTCCTGGTAATAAAATTCTGTCTTCCCTGCTTTTGTGTAATTTACGTGGTCGAAGGCCAAAGGCAAATTCAGGAAAATAAGGAATTAGCTATAAAAATGGAACATGGAACTTTAGTTTGCCTAAAGATGACAAAAGGAATTAGAGGTAAATGAATCTTAAGTGGAATCAAAAATGAGAGAAATTCTGCTGCACACAAGATCTTGGTGTGGAAGGAAGATGCGGGATTTGGGGGCATGCTGGACTGATAACAATTTGTTTATTGCTGCACTCAGGAAATTCTGTAGAATCTCTGCACTGGAGATTTCGATTTTAGCAACGAAGTACATTTCTCTCTCCATTAAAATATAGGATTTTATGACTTCTGTATTGGACTTTTTTTTAAATAAAATATACATTGCAGCATAAAAATAAACAAACACTTGCATAAATCTCATGGCTGAAAGTTATTAATATTTTGCAGATTTCCTTCATTTTATACAAATGAAACATGTCTGATAATATTGAATATCTCATATGGATAGTACATTTTTATTTAAAAATATAAGCAGATTTAGAGATAACATGACTATTTGATTGTTCATTTAACATTTTGTCTCAAAGTTGTACCTGATTTCATTTCCATCTTTTACTATGATAAATAATTTCCTATAATCATCTCCATAGAATACTCTCATCTTCATATTTGGGTTATTCCTTCAGAGAAGCACTGGGTAAAACACAATAAAAGGCATGATTCTAAGGTCCTTACTGTATAAGTGGCAGTCACACACCTGGGTTACTTTCCCTCTATTACTCTCTGCTTTTCCTGACACTGAAGACCAGGATTTGCAAATAAATCATCGTCTTTGACTCAGATTGAATTTCTTAGCCCAAGTCAGTTGGACTTTTGCTTGTTCATTACCCATTTTGTTTTCCTTTTGATAAAATTGTTTAGATGTCCTTCATTTTTCTCCCAGAGTCTTAGTGTTTTCTCTATCATCTTTCTGAGTGTGACAAAATATACTATTATATGGTATATTATATGCTTATTTGGTAACATATTATGTCCTATGATACAATAATGTATAACATATAGATACAAAGGAAGTAAAAGTCATTTCTCAAATTTCATAAAAATAGAGCTGACAGCATATAAAATAATAATAGTGTTTATGAAGGTCAGACTTTTCTTAAAACAAAAAGAAGTATTATGTAAAATATAATAAAGACAGTGTCCTCTTAGATATAATGTTTCATTTTGATGTTTATTACCTTCATCTGATTAAGATTAATTCCTTTCTCCTTTGTATCTTCTATTGCTTTTGAAATTGTAAAAATTGAATACCATTTTGCAAAAGATAATAGTAAGGCTTCAGTATCTTTTGATCTAATTTTACTAAGGTGAAAAGGTTTATGCCTTCAAAAAGAGTTGAAAGACAAAGAATTCTTTTTTTTTAACTTTTCCTATTGATGAAACATTTCAAATTACTTATGGGACATGTTATTATATTTAATTAAAATGTTCTGCCTTAAAATTAACATTCTCTAAAATGCTAAACATAGCACCAACAAATATAATTGAGATAGTATTGCCAATGGATTTTTTCCTTTACTGATTTTTCTTTTCTTAGGAACAAAGAATTATAATTTCTAAATTTAGAACAATTACTTGTATGGCCATGGATATAGCTCAGCAGCCCAGCGCCTGCCTGGGAAGTACAAGGTCCTTAGTTTGATTCCTAGCACTAGAAAAAAAAAATAAAAGCAATTAATTGTAACAAATACTCATTGATATGGTTTGAGGGCCTCAAACCCTTCAAAGGGTCTAACATGTTCAAGGAAATTGAAGTAGATCAATTTGATTCTAAGCAAAGAAAGTCTGAATCCAGAATCCATAGGAAAAATCCATGTTGTTTAATTTTTCACCATATTAAATTCCAAAGTAAAGAGAAACAACTCAGATGGAATAACTCAAATTAAATAAGTATATTTATATGAATGGTTTTGTTAAAAGTATTACTTTATGTTAAAAAAGGAACCGCCTCACATCTTGACCTGGGCTAAGACACTGGCAAGCAGAGGGGGCTTCCGGGTGTCCCCCATCTGCTGTTGATGAGAACGCTGTTAATGGGTTGCTCCTGCTGCATGGTGACCCCAGGAGCGCAGGAGGCTTCCTGCTCCTCAGAGTGCCCCTGCACCACCTTTCCTGTGTGCTGCCAAAGGAAAAGAAGCTTAAAGATTGCCTTCTTTTTTTTTTTTCTGCTCTTTTCTTCCATCCAAACAATCCTACTTGAAAAGCTAGAAGTCAATTCTAAATAGTTAAATATCTATTATTCAAATGCCGTAAAAATGAAGAAGTCTACCAAAATCACAGTAACAACTGCAGCCATCATGTATGTCTTACCAATTGTGTTAGCTACTCTCTTATACATTCTTCATTTACAATTCCTACAGGCCTCACGTTGGCCTCGTAGGTTGTTTGTCCAGACTCTGGTGACCAAAACACAGCAGGTGTAAGCTCTTGCCCATTATCTCCTGACTCGTGACCGTCATAAGGGACCGATTGGTAGAACCTGGTCTCAGAGTGGCCATGTAACGGCCG